CGAAAAAGAAAAAACCCGAGCGCAAAAAAATAATCCATCTTCACCCATCTTCACCCCATTATCTTTATGGCCCCCACCCGCCGGCCAGGGGTGGGGACCGGGGGGGGAGGACAGTAGGTCCCCCCCCCTCATTATCTTTATGGCCCCCACCCGCCGCCCAGGGGTGGGGGCCGGAGGGGGGGGGTGGACAGTAGGTCCCCCCCCTCATTATCATTTGTCCCCCACCATCCGCCCAGGGGTGGGGGCGGGGGGGAGGACAGTAGGTCCCCCGCTCATTATCTTTATGGCCCCCACCCGCCGCCCAGGGGTGGGGGCCGGGGGGGTATGACAGTAGGTCCCTCCCCCCCTCATTATCAATATGGCCCCCACCCAGGGGTGGGGGCCGGAGGGGGCAGTAGGTCCCCCTCCCCATTATCATTTTGGCCCCCACCTGCCGCCCAGGGGTGGGGGCCGGCGGGGGCAGTAGGTCCCTCCCCCTCATTATCATTATGGCCTCCACCCACCGCTCAGGGGTGGGGGCCGGATAGTAGTTTTCTTTTTTTAAACAGTGAGCAACCACAGGCTGCTCACTGTTTAGTGGACATGCCCCTACTCGCGGTATAGCGAGTAGGGGCATTGGGGAGATTTTAATCTCCCTTGTGCTATTATGGGGGTCATATTGACCCCCATAGAGTGAGGGGGGATCTGAGGGGCTTATGAAGTGGTGGGGAGCACGGCTCCCTGACACTTCTATAGTTACATATTACAAGGAGGGAGCTGCATGCCGGTAGCTCCCTCCTTGTAATAAACTAAGAAACTTCCGGCACACAGGCACACTGCATCCTAGCACGCATAGACACACATTATATATCCCCACACACTGCATCCCCAGCACACAGATATTTCAACTCACTGTTTAATGAATGGACAGAAAAAAAAAAGAAGGGAAAACGACAAAAGACAATGAGAGGGCTATTCACTAAACTGATCATTTTTGGAACTTCAAAATGAATTAAAAGTTAATTTCAAATGTAAGGTCAAAGTAGCTAAATTTGGAGAATGTTTCAAGTTTGTTTATTAATTTTTTTGTCCTTAAATCAAAAATGTACTTTGAATTTACAACAATTCTCACTTTAGTGAATAACCCTATGGGTATAACGAGAAACCGTGTAGAGAGAATCTGTAGCAAACAGTGAGCACAGTGGCGTAAACATTACCCATGGGGCCCCGGTGTGAAAATTTATCCGTGGGCCCCCCCGCGCTTACTCGGGGCCGCAACACATGGCGGCGGGCACCTGGTCGCAGGGGTTGCAGGGCTGCGACCCCGCGACCACGGTATGCACACACATTTAAAGGGCCACTACAGATACCCAGATCACATCAGCTCAATGAAGTGGTCTGGGTGCCAGGTCCGTCTAGTTTTAACCCTGCAGCTGAAAACATAGCAGTTTCAGAGGGTTAATCCAGCCTCTGGTGGCTGTCTCATTGACAGCTGCTAGAGGAGCTTCCGCGATTCTCACTGTGAAAATCACAGTGAGAAGACACTGAACGTCCATAGGAAAGCATTGAGTAATGCTTTCCTATGGGCGGTTTAAATGCGCGCGCGCGCGCCTCTTGCCGCACATGTGCATTCGGAGCTGAGAGGCAGAGGGATCCCCAGCGCCAAGGGAGTCCGACGCTGGAGAAAGGTAAATGCTGAAGACACACACACACACACATTCTCACGAACAGATGCATACACACTAGCTAACAGACACACACATTTACTGACATACATACACACTCACTTACAAAACATACACTTTCACTGACAAACACACACTCAGTAACAGACACACATAGTAACACACTCACTAGCAGACACACACCCAATAACAGACACACTCACTGACACACACTAACACACAAACACACACACACTAACACACACACACACACTAACACACAAACACACACACATTTTTTTTTTACATTTAATCCCCCCAGCCTCCTTACCTTTTGGAGTGCTGGGGGAATTCCCTGGGGTCCAGTGGTGCAGCTGGGCGGGCTGGCTGTCTGGGTGGCCGCCGCGCGAGTGAGCACTCTCCCCTGAGTGCTTCCTCTTCAGCTCCCTCGCGCGCCGCGTAGGGATGCCGGCGTCAGAAGATGACGTAATCTTCCGGCTCTGGCATCAGTGCTGTGCACGAGGGAGAGGAAGAGGAAGCGCTCAGGGGAGAGTGTTCCCTCGCGCGCCGGCCACCCAGACAGCCAGCCCGCCTGCCCGCCCACCGGGGTCAGCAGGGCCAGCCTCGGGGGGTCCCTGAGGTGGCCGGCTCCTGGGCCCCCCAGGAGAAGAGGCTGGTCCTGTGGGTACATACCGGGTCGCAGGGGCGGCCGGGCCGGGCAGGGCAGCCGCGACCCCTGCGACCCTGGTATGAACGCCACTGAGTGAGCAGAGAAATCATGAACAAAGAGTTTGCAAGTGTTGGGAAAACAGAAACGGGATAAAACACTAATGAGAGAGATTGTTAAGAGTAGGAATAAGCACTGTGGAGGAAAAGGACAGCTGATCAGACCTAATTGTAAACCAAATGACAAATTGAAGCCAAAATAGCTGATTTAGAAGAATTTTCCAACTCCGCTACAGTCACCGTTCAGCTGTTCTTCCTTAAACTTTGCTTTGCAATTCGGTTTTCAATGCACTGAAATTCAGAGTTTAGTGAATAAACTTCTGAAAAGATGTAGTTAAATTCATGAGGGGGCCGGCCCAAGACATTGTGCTGCCTGGATCCAAGCAAATAACATATATGCTTCTGCAATGGTAATGTCTCTATGTGGATGTGCTAGGGATAAAGTGTGTGTCTGTGTGCGTGCTGGGGATGAAGTGTGTGT